CTCTTGTGAAATTTGCAATTATATTACAGAATGTGAAACCTCTTTTTTAAAAAAAAAAATTGGAAAAACAGATTCTAAAGTAACACATTTTTACAGAGGAACAATAAGGAATAATAAGGAGAAATTAAGCATTTCATTTCTAATTCTCACCCTTACAGTTTCCCAATGTCTAAATTTTGAAATGCTTGTTTATTTTTATTTATTGAATATCTGTACTGTCTACTACAATTTAAAGAGAAGAAACAAAAAGAAAACACAGTTTTTCTACGGCCGTGAAGAATCTCTCCTGCTTGCAATACAGCTGATACAGTACCAGAAAGAAAGACAAGAAGCAATGGATGGAAATTGATCAAGGAGAGAAGCAACCTGGAATTAAGGAGAAATGTCTTAACAGTGAGGACAATTAACCAGTGGAACAGCTGGCCTCCAGAAGTTGCGGGTGCTTCATCACTGGAGGTTTTTAAGAAAAGACTGAACGGCTACCTATCTGACATGGGATAGGGTCTCCTGCTTGAGCAGCGAGTTGGACTAGAAGACCTCCAAAGTCCCTTTCCAGCTCTATTATGATTGATTGATAAGAGAATCTGCAAATATTAAATGATGCTTCCCTCCTCTACGCTTGTTCCAATATGACTACTAGTTAATAGCACAGCATGGTCCACTTGCCTTTTAGAAAGGCACCTTTGGGACAACCATGACCTGGATGATTGAGAATCTCCATAGACAAAAAACAGAAGAAGGCAACTGTATCATACTAGACTACTAGACTGACTATCGGCCATAAGACAGACCATTGGTCAACTTAATTAGCTTTCAGAAATTGAGGTAAGCCAATGGCCTGCCAGCAGTCACCCAGGTTCCAGATCACAAATTTCAGGGACGAGAACCAAGGGAGGAAGAAGCAATTGGCTCAGTGCAGCGGGAGCCACTCTTTCAAAATGAAAGAGGACAATTGGACATTCCGTATGACTTTGTCCCAGGTTGAGAGTTTAAGATTCTCGCAATACTAATTTGTGTATCAGAAAGACTTCATCCAGAATTGAATTTAACAAACAGATCCCATTCTGTGGAGTTGGGACTGAGATCACCTTCTACCAACACGGTTCATTGATCTCTTCTCTTTTTGGCTCTCTTCTTTCTTTTTCTTAGAATATTGCCCACAATGAATGTTCAACCAAAGGTTGTCACTCAGCCACAGGTGGTGGCGACCCAGCCCAAGACAAACAATTGGCAAACGGACGTATGTGACTGCTTTAGCGATTGTGGAGTCTGTAAGTGACCCAGCCAGTAACTGAAAGTGGGGTTCTCAAAACCTTCTTGGGAAGATTGGGCTGAATATCCTCCCAGACTGGATAGGTTGCAGAAGTCAATTGTACCTTATAATTTGAGCAATAGATGTTTAATTATTGAACAGCCTAATGGATTGGATTTAGGATGGCAGGAGATAAAAGGAGACACGGCTTCTATACTATTAAAAGTTGTGCATGGAACTTTTTAAAGTTTTACATGAAGGAGACGAGCAGGCTGAGCCCAAGGGTGGGGTTAAACACACCATCAGTTTGGAGTCGCTATGCTCCCAAAGGATCAGCCTCCCCCCAATGAATTCTGTTGACTCTTAATTAGCTCTAAACTGCCTTGACCATTAGTAAATCTGATTCTTGTATAAAGCATGAGATAAATTCTATTCCAGTGCCTGGTTTCTTGCGCCGGATGCAACACAACTGAAGAATTATGCTAAAAGATTCTTTTAAAGAAAAGAATATGATGTTCTCCAGATGTTTTGATTTTAAATTTTCATAAACTTGCTGTTTTTGGAGCTTGGTTGTTTTCTTGCACATGTTTCATTACCCAGGTAGGGAATATCACCAGTGCTAGGTCAGCATCACTACTAGTACTAAAGATGTTACTTACTTGGGGAATGAAATATCTGCAAAAACAACCAAGTTCAGAGAACATCAAGGACACAACAGCTCAAATGGGAGTTATAAATATTCTCTTCCATTGGTAATTGTCAGGCACAATCAACCCATGTGCAAAAAATTCAATTAGCTATTTTATTACTCAAGCCTATAACATAGGAATCTTCTCAGACTGGCAGTCCCCACCTGGGTCAAACTAGATAAGGTTAAACAGCATTCAAGGAAGATCAGACTTCACTCATGTATGGATTTCAGACTAGTTCCCTGTTTGACTCCTCTCCCTGACTCAGCCAGTTTCTCTCCGACAGTAATTTCCTTGATTCTTTTTCATAACAGTTGGGAACATCACTATAGAGAAAAATGCAATGGGCTGTGGTTTTAATTTAATGTGGTTTGTAAAATTTTCAGCCCTCCCCTCTCCTAGCTGATGTTTTAACTAGCATTTTCACTTGCAGTTTTAATGTTGCGGTAATTGTATAATTTGTACTTTCTGGGCCATCAATCTTATGTCACTCAACACTGTGCCAAAATCTTTCTACAAGGGCTTTTTCTTCCTCTCTATAGGTCTCTGTGGAATGTTCTGCTTCCATTGTTTGTCATGCCAGGTTGCTACAGCTATGAATGAATGTTGTTGCTGTGGTGCAACTGTGGCCATGCGAGCTGTCTACAGGACAAAATACAATATCCCTGTAAGTAGATTACCTTGCCCAAGACTAGACAAACTTCAGGTTTATAAACTCTAGTTAAAAACAAACAAACACACAAACTAGACTCATAAGAAGAACTTAAGAGAGAAATACCAGCTCAGAAACGGGCTGGGGCAATTTGCCACAACCCGCTTGTTGCAGGATAACTTGTCATGGCCAACTCACCATGGGACAACTCACCAAGGTAAAATTCAACAATTCAATCTAATTATTTAAAATTATTTTAAAAATTATTTTAATTTTTGTCAGTCACATTTCATTTTGTCCCTCCTTTGTCATCTTTTCTTCATTGATTCTTTTCAGTGCTGTGATTCAAAGATTTTTACCACTAGGCGTGGCTTGGTGGGCATGCTTTGCGCCTATGCACACACTTCGCTTATATGTGTGTGCCAAACGGACGCAGGCGCAGAGGCATTTGCGCAGGCGCAGAGGTGTTCCAACTCACCTCCTGCAAGCCTGCACTCTCCCTGACGCTTCAGCAGCTGCCGCGCGGCACTCTGTTGTGCTGCGCAAAGCAGCTGCACTTCAAAAGCAGGGAATAAAGGTGAGTATGGGAGCCCAGGAGGGCCAAACAGCAGAGCGGTGAAGAGAGCAGATTCAGTCTCTGGTGCTCATCGGCGCTACCAGGTCGGGAGAACCGGGCTGAACCGGGAGAATACCACCACTGATTCTTTTCCATCATTTCTGCTTTAGTGTAATTTTTGTCACACGGCAAGTTTTCCCGCAGTGAGTTGGCTACAGTGAGTTGGTTGGGGCAAGCTGTCCTCAGAAAAGCAGTGCATAAACAATCCAGAAATTTGTGAGAGGAAAAAACCTGACCTGGGAAGTGAACAGATAATTCTTCCATTTGTTATCTGCAGCAGGCCATAATCTTTCAGACTTATAAAAATGAAAATAAAATGATACTTTTTTCACACCAAACATAACTATCGCCTCTACTTGGCTCATAAGGATGAGAAGGCAGAATGTGTCACAAGTCCCATCTATTAGGGATTGTCATCTGTGGGATCATGAAAAACGACCTTCTCGGTGGTAGCCCCTGGGTGCCCCCTTAGCGTGCGCTTTGTAACTTTGAACGGTCACTAAACAAACTGTTGTAAGTCAAGGACTGCCTGTATTTTGCCACCCAACACAGAGTTAGCTTTTCATGATTCCATATATCTACATCATGATTTTATTGGAAAGGTTATGGATTAATTTGGTTTCTTTTCTTTTCAACAGGGATCCATCTGTGGGGATACCTTCATTGTGGGGTGTTTGCCTGCTTGTTCTCTCTGCCAAGTCCAGAGAGATATCAAAAAAAGGAAAGAAATGGGGATATTCTAGAAGACTTCCTCCTAAGCTCCTTTACATTTGTCCTTTTTTCATTAGAATTCTGAGAAGTAAGATGCAGTAGAGTAGTTTGTAGGAAGTATTGTTATTTGGAGGCACCCTTGCTTTATTCTTAACCCAAAGATTACATTTTAGCACTGATTCAGCGGTCAAACACTAGTCGCACAAACACTTTTTGCTCCTTTTTGTCCTGTCCTTGTCTTTGTTTGTTTTTCCCCGTTTCTTTTAAAATGGAAAACAAAACATTTGGTTGTTGCTGCTATTAAACAATTAAGATTTTTTTTTAAAAAAAAACCCCTACTAGACCTTTGAATATTTACCGGTGGATCTACCATTCTCCCTTTCCTGTTTTAAAGCTACTGGTGATTTTGGTTTGTAAGCTGTAGTAACTGGAGAATATAAGATAAAAAGTGTTTTATTTTTTCACATTTCAAAAACATCTTTTTTAGTGAACAGCACGATTCCAGGTTTTCACATTTCCATACAAACATGACCTTGATTACATATTCATCTTTCACATTTGATTTCATATCATATCATTACATATTTTCGATAAATTTTCTCAAATACTTTTCTCAAACTTATTTTTTATATTTTCTATTCATTTCTTATTTCTTTTTACTTTAAATAATTGTCATATCTTCATATTCATTATACTTTATACTTTTATCTGTCACATTCGCAATTTCATTGCATGTTCTTATTTCATTATTCCAAAAATTCCATTCCTAATTCAAATAATTCAAAAAGTTTCCCCTGTCATTACTAATTTGAGTGTACTACCCCTTTACCTTATACATCATTTAATTAACTCCTCTTTAAATCCTAATAATAATTTATCACTTGTCTAAATGTCTAACGATAATTATTATAATGATATATTATTATAACGATTATATTATAACGATAATATAATCTGACTTTGCTAAGGGCCTTTATCTGCTTAATAAAATCCTAACAACAAGTAGTTCCTGAGAACTGAGCCCAACATTTAGGTTGTTAAGTGAGAAGTTTGTTAAGTGAGTTTTGCCCCATTTCACGACTTTTCTTGCCACATGCATTAAGTGAATAACTGTAATTGTTGAATTAGTAACACTGCTGTTAAGTGTATCAAGCTTTTCCGATGACTTTTCTTATCACAAGGTTGCAAAAGGGAATCACGTGATCCCGAGATACTGCATTTGTCATAAATATGAACCAATTGTCAAACATCCAAATAGAAATCGCTTGACCATGGGGATGCAGCAACAGTCGTAAGTGTGAAAAATGGTCATAAGTAACTTCAAACAGTCACTAAACGAACTGTTATAAGTCGACCATCACTACTGAAGAAATGGAGGCCTGCTTATTTACTTTGTTTCTGTTCTTTCTTTTTTTAAATCATCTTAGTGTCTTTAGTTGCACTGAGGAAATCACAAAAGTTAAAGTTATGTTGGCAAAAATATAAAACATGGCCCTGAAAGTTGTTGGCTACTTCCTGTAAGATCTGCCTGGTATTTGGGTTTTAACCAACATCATAAAAATACTGTATTCACCTATGCTTTGTAGCCTGTTCCATAAAGCAGCTTATGTTAAAACCAAAGGACAAAAGTAAATTATTCAATAAAGTGATTTCAGCAGCCTTATAATACGAATGCATTCTCTTTTTAGCAACTTGGATGCTTTAGAACTCTGCCTATTTCAGAAATACCTGGGCCAGAACCACGTGGGAGAATAATTGATTCATACTTTATATGATGGCCCAAAAGCCCATCTTACCATTAAGTAATATTGCGATTAATTTTGGAAAAAGGAAGTCTGGAAAATATTACAGTTTGCTCAATTATATTGAACATGCCATTCTGTATGGAGAATTTACCTCGAGATTAATAAAAACACTAACCCTAACCTTGTGCTTCTTATTTCAGTTTTGCACGTTTCAAATATTATTCTGCTCTATGGAAAAGCAGTATGTGTTATTTCTTTAGGCTGTTTTTTTATGGTGTAATGGTTATTTTATTAACCTAAAGGCTAAGATTTTCATCTGTATATATAAAGGTGGGACAGGACGATATGGGCAAATATTTTATTTTTGTACTGGAATTCCACAAATAACTTAAATTGATGCAAATGTCACTTAGCATTTGCCATGGTTTTCTATCAGCACAATGGAAAGAATGAACATTCTGATTCTGTGGTTTTTGTTTTAATTCCCTTCGAGGCAACGTTGGTTCTTGGCAACTGTCTTCAGAAGTGGTTTGTCCTTGCCCTCCTTCTTGGAGCTCAGAGGTCTGACTGGCCAGCGAGATTTGTGCCTAAGGCAGGAGTAGAATTCAGTCTCCTGGTTTCTAGCTTAATCACTGTTGTAAAGGTTCCCCTCGCTCATATATGCTAGTCATTTCCAGCTCTGGGGGCCAGGGCTCATTTCCGTTACAAAGCCGAAAAGCCAGCTCTGTCCAAAGACGTCTCCGTGGTCATGTGGCCGAATGACTAAACGCTGAAGGCGCATGGAACACTGTTCTCTTCCCCCCAAAGGGATCCTATTTTTCTACTTGCATTCTACAGTACTTGGACAAGTAACGGGAACTTACTCCGTTATGCGGCGGTAGGGATTTGAACTGCCAAACTGCCAACTACTTTCTCATCTACAAGCTCAGCATCTTAGCTACTGAGCCACTGCATCCCTTTCGCCTTCATAGTTTTAAATGATTCTGTGCGGGAAAAGTTTAAAGTGTTGCTTAACTGAATCCTTTTCACTTATCTATTGTGATGCATCTTTTACAATGTGTTTTAGTTTTTCTAGTTTTTTGTTTCATCGTTTTTTAAGGCTTTTTTTTTCCTTCAAGGCAAACAACATTATGCCAAGTTCAAAAAGACTTGAGAAATAACAAGCTAAATGATCTAAAGTTAGAAAAAGAAAAAAGTAGATAAATCTTGTCTATACCATTACAGGTTCCTTCCTTTCACCCTGAATCTACTTTTCATTTATATCCTGTCTTCTGTTCTTTAAACTTTCGTCTTTCTGAGGATCTCATCAATTCCTCCCAACCCTCCTTTTCCTTT